CCCCCTCCTCCCACTTCCCCCCATCTCGTTTTTTTTTTTCTTCATTTTCTTCTTCTTCTTCCTCTTCTTCTTCTTCTTCCTCTTCTTCTTCTTCTTCTTCTTCTTCTTCTTCTTCCTCTTCTTCTTCTTCTTTTTCCTCGTCTTCCTCTTCGTCTTCTTCTTGTTCTTCGTCTCCTTCTTCTTCCTTTTTCTCCTCTTGTTCTTCTTCTTCATCTTCTTCTTCTTCTCTCGTCGTTTGTAAATTTTCTTTCTACGTTGTGTTTTGTCTACAGAGAGAGAGAGAGAGAGAGAGAGAGAGAGAGAGAGATGAGATGAGAGAGAGAGAGAGAGAGAGAGAGAGAGATGAGAGGAGAGAGATGAGAGGAGAGAGATGAGAGGAGAGAGAGAGGGAGTTCACTATTGCGGACCACGAACGCATAGAACGATGTACATAAGTGCGATTTTAGCCCGCAGTAGCGAACTCCATACGTTTTCGTTTGCCGGACGGTTCCTTGTTTGTTTATTCCTGACGTCTCTTTTATTCTGTTATTCTCTCTCTCTCTCTCTCTCTCTCTCTCTCTCTCTCTCTCTCTTCTCTCTCTCTCTCTCTTTCTACAATCTTTCTTTCTTGCGTTCGTGTCTCTCTCACTCCCTCATTCGGACGGATGCGTTTGGAAAAATGGTCTGCTTTCTTTTTTTTAAGGCGTGTTGTCTGTGTGATATCGAGTCATGTATGGGGGAAAGGCAGATGTACAGTACAAAATAACAATGTATGTTTCCATGCACATATAGACAATCTTTTGTAGGAGACCGTTGACAAAAAGTGAGGAAGTAGTGAGACCCTGTCTCTGCGCCCCCCCCGTCCCTCTCTCTCTCTCTCTCTCTCTCTCTCTCTCTCTCTCTCTCTCTCTCTCTCTCTCTCTCCACACGTATTTCTCTGTATATACAACCGTTTCCAGATGTCAAGAGTGGCCAAAATCRGACAGAAGAGAAAGTCGGGCGAAGAGTGTCATGCAACGGTGGATGACTTTCTACTACCGGGGGCCAAAGAAGATAAGACGACTGACATGGAACCCAACAAGGGTCGTATAGTAGACAAACARCGAGAACAWATAGACAGGCTAAGAGAGGMGGTGGATAAGCAGAAACAATTGGTGAGAGAGTTCTCGGACGAACTAGGCCGTGTTAAGTCACTGCTCGACGAAATGACAGAAACTGCGGAACACAGGATGTTCACCGTGTTCTGGTTGTTACTGGACGATCCTAAATGTTTAGACATAACTCGTCTGAGGGAAGACATGTCTGCCAGACTGAAGGCAATAGTTGAAACAAAGACCACCACGTTTGATGACTTCCAGACATGGTTGGATATTGAAAGGCGCAGGCGCACTGCGGTCTTGAATCAGTTCGCAGCCCATGTCACAGAGAGAACTCAGGGGGAATTAGAACGACGGAATGTCGCGTCTTGTGTCATCCCTGGCAAGCGTGTGCTGAAGGAGGGGTGGGCATCCTACGATAGCCAAGCGTATACCACAGGTTCGCTATCTGCTTCGAGACGCAGTGTCGTTGACCTCTTGGCCTTCGCAGAAGACTGTATTCGGCACTGTATGGAAACCGTGGAAGAATGTGGTCTTTGTGACGAGGGTGTGACGTCTGTTGAGTGAAGAACTCGACACAACAATGCAAACGTCCAGAGGGATCGGGACCAGTGTCGTGGAACTTGCGCCTGCGCCGCATCCCCTGCTCGTATGCACCGATGTTGCAGCACTAAACTGTCACCAGGTTCGTCACAACTTCCCTTGTGTCGTTGCCAGCAGAGCACCTTCTGCTGATGCAGAATCTGTTGTGCTGCCAATGACGACGGACACATTCGAAAAGTTTGTTGCAAATGCGAATTCTCGACAAATGGCGAGGCTGGTTGCGGACTCTCTGTCCCATCTCATATCATACATCAAAGAGATTATGGCACCGGTCTTTACGAACGAAGGCCAGCATAGAGGGAATCAGAAATGTGAGCATTGCAAGAGAGGACTACACATCGAGGACCGCTTAAAAACTCTCTACATTAGATGTCAAATCGTGGCAGCGCGGGTGGTCAGGGACGCGTGATCTCTCTCTCTCCTTCTCTCTCTCTCTCTCTCTCTCTCTCTCTCTCTCTCTCTCTCTCTCTCTCTCTCTCTCTCTTGTATTCACATACTTCTGGTTGGCTACTGCTTGCCATGTACATATTCCTCTCGCGCTTTGTGTTGTCGTTCTGCCCCGCTGTAGTTAACCGCTGTCTGTTGCGCATGAGATGTTTGTCGGAGTCCTAGCCCGTACTATTTAACCTCTCGGTATTGCTGCATTTCTCTCAACTCCAAGTACTTGCGGATGAGTACCGCGTGTCACAACTGTGTCCAGCGGTGGTGTTTGTTGTTGTTCTGGCCCGCAGTAGTAAACCGCCGTTGTCGCTGCATCACTGCCTCTCGGACAGCATGAGGTTCACTACTGCCGGCCAATTAAGGTCTCTTAAGTGTTGTTTGTTGGAGTTATGGCCCGCAGTAGTGAACCTCGCGGTGGTAGCACACTGTAGTTTCCCTGCTACGGAAGGTTCAGTACTGGGTGCCATGTTTTGCCTCCAACCGGTGCTGTTTGTTGTCGTTCTGGCCCGCAGTAGTGAACCGCCCTCTGTCGATGCATCACAGCCTGTCCGACAGCATGAAGTTCACTACTGGCGGCCAATTTCGGTCTCTGAAGTGATGTTTGTTGGAGTTATGGCCCGCAGTAATGAACCTTTCGTGAGAGTACGCTCTGTAGTTTCCCAACTACGGAAGGTTCACTACTGCGTGCCATGTAAGTGTTAACCGGTGCTGTTTGTTGTCGTTCTGGCCCGCAGTAATGAACCGCCCTCTGTCGATGCACCACAGCTTGTCCGACAGCATGAAGTTCATTACTGGCGGCCAATTTCGGTCTCTGAAGTGATGTTTGTTGGAGTTATGGCCCGCAATAGTGAACCTCGCGGTGGTAGTACACTGTAGTTTCCCAACTACGGAAGGTTCACTACTTCGTGCCATGTACGTGTTAACCGGTGTTGTTTGTTGTCGTTCTGGCCCGCAGTAGTGAACCGCCCTCTGTCGGTGCATCACAGTCTGTCCGACAGCATGAAGTTCACTACTGGCGGCCAATTTCGGTCTCTGAAGTGATGTTTGTTGGAGTTATGGCCCGGAATAGTGAACCTTCCGTGAGAGTACACTCTGTCGTTTCCCAACTACGGAAGGTTCACTACTATGTGTCATGTACGTGTTAACCGGTGCTGTTTGTTGTTGTTCTGGCCCGCAGTAGTGAACCGCCCTCTGTCGATGCACCACAACCTGTCCGACAGCATGAAGTTCACTACTGGCGGCCAATTTCGGTCTCTGAAGTGATGTTTGTTGGAGTTATGGCCTGAGTAGTGAACCTTGCGGTGGTAGCACACTGTAGTTTCCCAACTACGGAAGGTTCACTACTGCGTGCCATGTACGTGTTAACCGGTGTTGTTTGTTGTCGTTCTGGCCCGCAGTAATGAACCGCCCTCTGTCGATGCATCACCGCCTGTCCGACAACATGAAGTTCACTACTAGAGGCCAATTTCGGTCTCTGAAGTGATGTTTGTTGGAGTTATGGCCCGCAGTAGTGAACCTTCCGTGAGAGTACACTCTTTGTTTCCTAGGAAGGTTCACTACTGCGTGCTATGTAAGTGTTAACTGGTGCTGTTTGTTGTCGTTCTGGCCCGCGGTAGTGAACCCCCCTCTGTCGATGCACCACAGCCTGTCCGACAGCATGAAGTTCACTACTGGCGGCCAATTTCGGTCTCTGAAGTGATGTTTGTTGGAGTTATGGCCCGCAGTAGTGAACCTCGCGGTGGTAGCACACTGTAGTTTCCCAACTACAGAAGGTTCACTATTGCGTGCCATGTACGTGTTAACCGGTGCTGTTTGTTGTCGTTCTGGCCCGCAATAGTGAACCGCCCTCTGTCGATGCATCACAGCCTGTCCGACAGCATGAGGTTAACTACTGCCGGCTAATTTCAGTCTCTCAACTGATGTTTGTTGGATTTATGCACGCAGTAGTGAACCTCGCGGTGGTAGCACACTGTAGTTTCCCTACTAGGGAAGGTTCACTACTGCGTGCGATGTAAGTGTTAACCGGTATTGTTTGTTGTCGTTGTGGCCCGCAGTAGTGAACCGCCCCCTGTCGATGCATCACAGCCTGTCCGACAGCATGAAGTTCACTACTGCCGGCCAATTTCGGTCTCTCTAGTGATGTTTGTTGGAGTTATGGCCCGCAGTAGTGAACCTCGCGGTGGTAGCACGCTGTAGTTTCCCAACTACGGAAGGTTCACTACTGCGTGCCATGTAAGTGTTAACCGGTGCTGTTTGTTGTCGTTCTGGCCCACAGTAGTGAACCGCCCTCTGTCGCTGCATCACTGCCCGTCCGACACCACAAGGTTCACTACTGCCGGACAATTTTTATCTCTCATGTCATGTTTGTTGGAGTTATGGCCCGCAGTAGTGAACCCCGCGGTGGTAGCACACTGTAGTTTCCCTACCACGGAAGGTTCACTACTGTGTGCCATGTAATTGTTTCCCATTGGTTCTTGTTGTCCTTCTGGCCCGCGGTAGTGAACCTCGTGTTGTTGTTGTATCTATGCATGTCTCTCTGTCAGAGGTTCATTACTTCGTCTGTATTTGGCAAGAATGTGATGTTTGTTGGAGTTATGGCCCGCAGTAAGCAACCTCTCTCTACTGTCAAAACTCTCTCTCTCTCTCTCTCTCTCTCTCTCTCTCTCTCTCTCTCTCTCTCTCTCTCTCTCTCTCTAGGGTGAGGGGGGCATGTCAGAGCTACGTGTTCTCATAAATGTACGTGGTGTCTCATGCAATAGATGGAACCCGCGATTGCATCGACTGTCAACGCTGGAAAGACTTGCGCCATGGAGACAGAGGACATTGTGAAGGGTCTTGCAGATGGCAACAAGGAAGGGAATTCGGCTGAGATGAACACCACTGACTGTGCAGACGTGCTGGCAACAATATATGCATAGACTGTATAGATGATGGGTGATGGTGATGAATCAGACAATGATGCAGGAGAGAGCACTTATGAGACGGAAAAGGTTGGGGAAGAGAGAGGAGAGAGAGGTATGGGGAGCAGGGAAAATCATGCAGGGTGTATTGTTGAGGATGAAAATGTGGTCAAGACATTAGCAGGAGAACAGTTCCCATATAACATCAATTGGGTGCCTGGTCGTGTTCAACCGGGTATTGTTGGAGGAGTACCCTGCTTCGCGTTCAAAGTGGTTGGGACTTGGGTTCCATTTCTTGTCCCCAAAACAAGCGCATGGCAAAACGTGACTCTATCAATCGTGTTTGACAGAGTATTAAGGTTGAACGATGCGGCAAGAGCTCAGGAGAAAGGGCAACATGCGTTGAAAATGTGGCGTGTTCTGGAGGCGAAGGGCGAGTTCAGGCTTAACGATTTTTTGTACGACAGTTTTGATTGCGGAACGTCATGGGTGATTGGTGGGAACGATGCAGCAGCGAGAACGGTGTGCCCCGAGAATGATGCAAGGAGGGATCCTAGGTGGGGTTTGAGGTCATATGAGATCCCGATTACGTGTGGCCGGGTGAGGATGCAGATGCGTGATGCCATGGAAAATGTCTGGAACACGCATTACATCAATGGCAGGTTCTCCTTCAGGCATCTCAACAAGGAGGTGTCAGAAGAGGAGAAGAAGGCAATGACATGTCCCCCTCATACTGCTGGGTGCTTTTTCCCGCCGTTTCGGAACCCTATGGAGTTGGAGGTGGTGGACAGGAAACTGTTCTCTGGTGAGGATGGTGCCACATACACAGTTGCAAGAGGGCAGGAAGCCACGTATGATGGACTATGGTCGCAGATATGGGACCATGTCATATTGAGGCGTGACGTTTTGACTGCCACGGACATTGGGGCCCATGTCATCCCTGAGGGACAGTTGCAGCAGCATATGGCCCCTGAAAAGTATGGCTATCGCGTCAATTGGGTCCCGGGATGTTTGCATCCTGCAGTGGTTGATGGCAAGGTGACGATGGCAGCAAAGCTGCAGTCAGGGCAGTGRCTCCCATTGGGATGGATGCATGCAGGCATTGTGGAGCATTGGCAGTTCCTGGTTGTTCTGGCACGTGTCTCAATTTTCAATGTAAATGTTAAGGACCACGTGCTGTTGGTTGAACACGCAAAGCGCTGTTGGGAGAAGATCAGGGAGGAGGACCGTYAGATGGTGTGTGCGGGTTACGACTCCATGGCAGACCAGGGGATGTGGTCCATGGTTGAGGGGAGTTGCGCTGGGCAAGAGCACGGCGACGGTGAGAACATATACATGGCTCACATTCGCCGCGGGCACCGTTGCACGACCCTTCTTGGTTGGGTCCCAGTTGTATGTCCCATGACATACGAGCATGGTGGAGATGTCACCATGACATTCACAGACCCGCTTGGTGTGCCTTTCCATCTTACCTATTCAGATGGACTCCTGCGAGACATTCGGTATGTCGTGGAGAACGACTTGGCAGGTGGATTGACGTGGAAGGGCAAGAGGACAGAGAAGCGCTCCGGAATTTTCCGTTTGTCTGCTGAGGTGGAGGGCCTATGTGGTCCTGGTGGCAGCGCAGGGTGCTCTGTAGCACAGGGGAACACGGTCGGCCCAAGTCACGCTGCGATGTCCCAGAGCCCGAGGAAGATGAAGAAGTGCGCGTCGAAACCGCCAACTGGGAAGACGGCTGCAGGCAAAAAGAAGAAGGGCCCGAAGCTCGTGCCAGCCACCGGTGACACTGCAGATGCACGCAGTCAGCCCCACAGATGTCGTCGACGCCCCGGGATGGCAACTCTGGCGGAAATCAGGAAGTTGCAACGATCCACCGACCTCTGTTTAGCTTTCAGGCCATTCTTGCGGATCGTGCGCGAGGTTGTGGAGGAGGACATTGCTCCTGGTGCGGGCGTGAGGTTTCAGATGACGGCGGTGCGTGCTTTGATGGAGGCTGCCGAGGCGTACCTCGTTGCCAATTTCGAGAACACCAACGAGGTCGCGATCCACTCGAAGAGGGTGACGATCCAGGTCAAGGACATGAGGCTGGTGGATAGGTTGTCGAAGTCTCGCTGGGTGGAGAAATATGAAATATGAAGGTATGTTGGAGCAGAGGAAAGACAACAACGAATGGAGGCCAGACAGACGGAGAGGGATGGCAGCACAGCAGGCGCAAAGAAGAGGAAAGCAGTGCCTCGTAAGGGGAGGGGCGCGAAAAAAAAAGCTGCTTGAGAATTGTGCTGTGTGTGTCGCATAATGGTTGTCCCGTCTGTTTCTGTCATGGTTAGTCTTCGTGGTGTTAGGTGGCGTGGTTAGGTGGAGAGAGAGAGAGAGAGAGAGAGAGAGAGAGAGAGAGAGAGAGAGAGAGAGAGATCAGGTTTACTAGTGTGGGACATATATGTATAGATGGACGACACTGTCGCTGATTTTGCCTCCAACCAGTGAACCTCTTCTTTTTTTGTTTTTTTCTTGTTCTCCTTTCTTTCTTTCTTACTTTCTTTCTTTAACTCTCTATTGTTTTTGTGTTCTTCCTTTCTTCAAGTATCTTGGTTTGAATGTATAAACATGAGTGTGAGAGAGAGAGAGAGAGGATGAGGTTTTTTTTTTTCGTCTTCTTCCTTTCTTGGTTTCAATGCATAAACATGCTTGGTTTAATCCAATTGAGAAATCTATAAAAATGAGGGGAGAGACAGAGAAAAAGGTGATTCCAAATTTTGCTTCCTCCCCTCTTATTCAAACAACGAACACCTTTAATAATGTCGAATGGCTGAACGTGGGACTACGTTGCATTGTCCAACCTCTATCGCAGAAATAAATACACATAGGTCACAGATATACATGGACAACACAAAGAAGTTATGTGGTCCGTCTGCTCCATATGTTATGTATGTTTGTCTGTCTGTATATCTGTCTGCAACACACAGACACACACACACATACACACACACACACACACACACACACACACACACACACACACACACATATTCTGGCATGCAGCATTAAAGTTGGCTACTGCGTGCCAGAAACCGACGAATGATGACCGTTGGGACGGGGAATGGCACCCACTAGCCAACTTCGTCTGTTTTTTTGTCTGTCTGTCTGTCTATCTGTCTGTCTGTCTGTCAACATGTTTGTCTGTCTGTCTGTGCATGTGTGTGTCTGTCTGTCTATCTCTCTATCTGTCTGTGTGTTTGTCTGTCTGTCTGTGTGTCTGTCTGTCTGTTTGTTTGTCTGTCTGTCTGTGCATGTGTGTGTCTGTTTTTCATGTCTTTTGGCAGTCTGTCCCCGCCGTCTGTTTGTCTGTCTGCCTGTCTGTCTGTATGTATGTTTGTCTGTCTGTCTGTGCACATGTGTGTCTGTATGTCTGTCTGTCTCTCAGTCTGTCGCTCTATCTGTTTGTCTATCTGCCTGTCTGTCTGTCTTTGTGTCTGTCTGTATGTTTGTTTGTCTGTCTGTGCATGTGTGTGTATGTCTATCTGTCTGTCTATCTGTCCGTCTGTCTGTCTGTCTGTTTGTCTATCTACCAGTCTGTCCGTCTATGTGTATGTATGTCTGTCTGTGTATCTGTCTGTCTGTCTGCCTGTATGTCTCTCTCCCACACACACACACACACACACACACACACAGGCATGCAACCTTGAATTCGGCTACTGCGTGCCAGAAACTTGCGAAAGACATCTCTCTCTAAGAGGAATGGCACCCAGTAGCCAACTTCGTCTGTCTGTTTGTCTATCTGTTTTTCTGTCTGTCTTTATGTTTGTCTGTCTGTCTGGCTCGGGGTGTGTGTGTTTGTCATTTTGTCTGTCTGTCTGTCTGTTAGTCTGTTTGTCTGTCTGTCTGTCTGTGTGTGGTGTGTGTGTCCGTCTGTCTGTCAACCATGCTGTCTATCTGTCTGTCCATATGTATGTGTGTGTGTCTCTATGTACGTCTGTTTGTGTGTATATCTGTCTGTCTGTTTGTCTGGCTGCCACACACACACACACACACACACACACACACACACAAACACACATTCTGGCATGTAGCAATGAAGTTGGCTACTGCGTGCCAGAATCTGAGGAATCACGACCGTTGCGACGGATAATGGCACGCAGTAGCTAACTTGGGCACAGTGAAGGAGACACACGCACAGACCATACATACACACACACATCAATGCAGATGTACACTAATACACACACACACACACACACACACACACACCCCACACACACACACATACACACACACACACACACAAACACACATTCTGGCATGCAGCATGAAGTTGGCTACTGCGTGCCAGAATCTGAGGAATCACCACCGTTGCGACTTGGAATGGCACGCAGTAGCCAACTTGGGCACAGACAAGGAGACCATGCATATACCATGCACACACACACACGCTAATGCACATGTACACAAATACACACACACACACACACACACACACACACACACACACGCATGTCGATGACGTCATTGTGCGTTTCGTCTGGCAGAGAGAAGAGGACAAAAGACAAACTGTACCATCATGTCGATGTCGGTAGCACAGGTGGAGAAGGCTCTTGCTGAGGTAATGAAGTATGCAGTGGAGGGCATCCACTACAACGGTGACATCAAGTTCTCTTTGCTGAAGGAGAGGGTGCCGAGGCAAATAACGAGGGCTGTGTCAAGGCACGAATGCTCTTGCAACGCTTCAGAGAGTCACCACATGTACGTGTGAACAACGAAGTGGAACACAGTCCTTATAGTCTAAAAGGAGTGGTTCAGTGGATGTGCAACGAAGGGATGTGCGAAGATGGAGACGTGGACATAACAATGCACCAAAAAGGGGGAACGTATGCACCTGCAGATTTCAAAAAGTTGTTGGGCACTGTGGCGAAGAACTCCGACATGCTTGTTGATGGGTCCAAGGACGAGTTGAAAAGTGGTGCTGCAGAGATCTTGGTGTTGTCCAGAATGAAGGACATCACACAAACATCACCACAAGACTTTCAAGATGTTCCTGTAATTGTTGCAGATGGTGTGGAATATGTTCTGCTGGATCAGCTCTGCAATTTCATGAAAAAGAGTGATGAGGACAGGAACGTCATCCACGAGGCGTTGCACGAAGTGACAGAGTTTGCACTGCAGGGTAAAGATCTGATCGAATTTGTGCCAGCGAGAGGAGAAAACGACTTCATATCCGGCAGACCGTTGTAGGGGGACTTATTGTCACGCGTTTTGGACCGACTCAGTCTTGCAAGTTGCGATGTTGAGAGACAAAGAAAAAGAGAAATAGGGTGGAAGTTGATCGTCAGGGAAACAAGTTTAGCAATCATTCCAGACAACGGAGAGACATCAGCAGCAGGAGAATCAATAAGCAGTATGGCAGTCGATGTGCCTCCTATGCAGATAGCAGATACAGAGGAGCTACTGCTTGCGGATATCTTCAACGCTAACGCTATGGAGAGAGATCAGTGTGATGTTGGATTCGAAGACGCCGATTTGGCAAGTTGTCTTGCAATATACACAGACAATGAAGATATAGCAGAAGATGAAGAAGAGGATGAGGAGGCATCGTTTTCTGACGTGGAGGTGAGCGGCAGCGATGTCAGCGGCGACGAGGCAAACGAGGAAGATGATGTTTACTATGATTTGAAGGGGGCGGGTGGACAAATGTCAAAAGGTTGGGCACATGCAGTTCTGAGGTTGGCACGTGCTTTCCCCGATCCGCACAATGTG